AGGATTTTGTTGGCCATTTGAAAATCCAGGTCCCATCCAAAGCTCCCTACGTCCTTAGCCTCAACAGCATCCTGGGACAGTGAGTTCCTCCATCTCAACACTGCAAATTATGTTTGGACTGTGTTCCTTGCGGTGCTGTCATTTCACCCAAGGAGAATGGTGAAACAGGTCAAAATGTACCTGAAAACTTGAAAGTCAACAACTGATAGCCAGGGCGTTCAGGAGGCATGAGCTAGAGACTGTAAACTGTGCTCTAAAGGCAGGTAACATTTTCTCTCTCCTCCTCAGGGGTACAAGATGGATGATCTTTTGACCTCGTACATCAGCCAGATGCTAACAGCCATGAGCAAACAGAGGAGTGCAAAGGGTAGCAAGTGAACTGCAAGAAGCCACTGGCAGGTGGCCATGGGGCTAATTCAGCAGCTGAGGCCTGTGGGATACCCGTGCAGCTGGGGGAGAACCTTTGCCTCCCAGATGTGGAAGATGAGCCGAACACCATCAGGGAGTTCGCTGGACTCTGACCTTGAGGGCTCAAATCCCACCTCCCATTCCAGCGAAGATGACTATCTCTGACCTCCCGTTCTCCTTCCCCATCCTGCACCCCAACTCCATCTTACACCTCAAAGATTTCCAGGGGACACCACCACTCCCAGACAGTAACTGGGCAAAGGAGGTTTGCCTGAACCCAATGGTTGGCATCGCAAAGGCTCTTGGAAGAGGATTTGTGTGTGTGTGTGTGTGTGTGTGGCTTGGTTTGGTTTGGTTTGTTTTTTTCTTAAGTAAGAGAGAGCTATCGGGATGCTAACAGCTTTTGGTGAGGTTATGGGCATTTCAGGTTTGAAGAGGAGTAACAGAGCCCCAACCCAGCTGGAAAGCTATCCAATGAACACTGCAGGGCTTGTTTTTTGACATTGTGTTTTGACGTTGTGTTCTTAAGAAGGACAGAAGGAAAGAGCAGGCTGGGAGGAGCACATTTTAACCAGGAATCAGAATAAACAAACTACTGATCGAACAGGCTAGAGTACTAAAGTGCTATCCGTGCAATGCTGGAAATATTTAAAGAACAAATTTTAAAGTTTTGTTTCTTCTTCTATTTATTTTTTAAAATATTAAAAAGGAAAAAAAAAAAATCCTGCATTTCGTGCTGGTATCTGGACACTGCCTCGGGGCTGAGGGCGACCTGCAGGACAATCCCGCGCCCAGGGATTCCCCCAGAGCCATGATTGCCAGAGGCTGAGTAAGGCACATCTTTGCCAACTTACAGGCTCAGCTGGAAGTGAAGCTTGGAAAACGAATTATCATCTCCTTTTGCCCCCTGTGTCCAGGCAAATTAACCCTGGGAGGATCTTCACTGCAAGCTTCAATATGGACGTAGGGGTTTTGAAGTCCCCACGCTTGGAAGACTGAGGCCAAGCCTGTGTTGAGCTGTGATTCAAACATGGGCTTGGCCATCAGGGTTGGAAACAGCTAATGATTTTATTGTGCTTTTTGTGTGTGTTGCTGTATAAAACAGCTCTTTACGAGTCCCAGCTGGACCTGAACCACTCACAGTGAGGGCAGGCCCTTGATTTCAGTGGGCTTTTCTCCATCTTTGTTTGGCTGTATTAATCTGCTGGCTGGTTGTCCCCTCTTCCACCCAATGCCACGCAGTGCGGACCAGCCTGCTTTGGAGCAGAGATGGGACTTGTCAGCAGAGAGGAGGCTGAAGCCATGTTGTGTCTGGTGGGATGCAGGGGAAGGAGCCTGGGGTGCCTTTCCAAAATCCAGGCTTCAAAGGAGCACGTGCCTGGGTATGTGGCAACAGGAGGGGTGAGAATTGTCCACCAAGACCTGCTGCTGGCATCTCTGAGTGGATCTCAGTAGATGTGGGACACCTCTCTTGGTCCTGTGCATTGGGCTGAGTTTGGCTGCTTTCATAAAAGTCCATATTGGAGGGTGTTGCGTGTTGTTCTGTTAAGCTCAGACGGGCTTGGTTGCCCAACACCGTGGCACGCCAGGCAGAGTTGGCAGCACTGCCTACCGGACCTCGAGGACCGTGACATCCGACTGGGATGCAGCAGTGACTTTAGACCTCAGTTGCTCCACCAAAAAGAATAGGATGCTGCATGGAGACATCCACCAGCCAGACAAGGCTGCTAGGAGATCCCCTTCCTCCACCAGCCCCCCTACCCAAGGCACTCTGGTGATGGGAGCAGAGCCAGCCAAGGCTGCACTGGGAGCCGAGCTGCCTTCTCACCATCCATCTCTGATGCTTCTCTCCCCTCCCTAGCTGCCATGATCCAGGGATCCCACCCATCCTTAGACACATGCCCATCATCCCCACCACCACCACCGCTTTTGTGAGTCTCCAGCCATCCCTGCCTCCCACAGCACGCTCAGTAGATGACGCAGCATCGCAATGTTTTCCAGCGCTGTCCCGGGCCAGCTTTGCCCCGTCACCACCCTCGTCCCTCCACTCACAGCTCTGTCAGCCTCCCATGCACCCCACCGTTTTGGGGGGTGCCGGGACTCTGTGTGTGTGTGCCTGTGTGTCATATGTATTAGTGTCTGCTGGCCTCTTTGTATTCACACCGAGCGATGTAACATGAAAAACATATGTCCAAGCAAAATACTCTAATTAAAAAGCATCAAGTGGTTTGTGGGAAGCTGTTCTGCACTGCGCGATTGTGGTGGTGTCTCCATGGGGAAGGGTGGGCTTAGGGCTTCCAGGTCCTCATTGGGGACAAGACTTCTCCTTGCACAGTGGGACTCCTGGTGAGTGTATCCAGCAGTGGGGAGCAAATCATCAGTGTGCTGGGACTGGAAATGAAGTGAAATATTTTCTTTTTGGGTAAAAAACACTGGAACCTGGGGAGTCTCCATTGCTCGTCCTCTAAGACAAGGGCTGGTTCCTCCATGAAGGCCAGTTTTGAGCTGAATCACTAGATGTAGGAAGTACTGGGTGAAAAGTTTGTGTGTGGGAGTCAGACTACCAGGCACATGCTGAATGGTGTTGCCAGATGCTGCTAGCTGTGAAGCAGCAAAAATAGTAGCTGAGATGTGACAGGGCATAAGGCATTGCAGGACACCACCAAGCAGCAGCTAGATACGTGGATGAAGGCACATTGAGGAGGCTTTTCCTAATACATATTAAAAGTCGTGATTGGGAGACCACAGCTTGTCCCAGCCAAGTCCCTCACCTGGACACCAGAGGACAGGCTGAGGACCCCATACCACCGCTCAACCCACACACTCCACACCTCCTATTTTTGCTGGTCACATACCTCCACGTGAGTGGTACCCACAAAAAATTATGAACCAGCTATGGATGTGGGGCATGGGGAGGGGGTTTAACACCATCAGTAGCATCCTCTCCCCCTGCTTCATAGATCTGGAGCTGCTCTACACCAATCCACCACCCCTTCAGCCCTTTTCCAGAGGAGGATGCTGCCTTTTTGCATTTCCAGCCTCCAAAATACTCCAAAATTGCAACTTGGAAATGTTCGAGTGCTTTTCAGCACAGCTAACTCTGAAACCTAATGCTTCCCTGTCACAATTCGCTTGTGATAGCTTTATTTAGCAAAAACACCGAGCTGCATGAGGCTCATGTATGAGAAAATGTCTGTAGCCTGATTCAGGTAAAGACTACTGTTTTCTTCCCCGTTCCCAGTTTGCCAAAATAAGAACAAAACAGGATAGGAGAGCTAAAATGTATTTAAAACAGCACTTGCAATTTACAAAAAATGTGTTGTTCTTATCTGTTCAAGTAGAAATTTATGGCTTAAACCTGGGAGATGCTCACATCTCCCTTGCAGAGCAGGGCATAGACCCCCTCCTCCCTCTGAGCTAGCAGCCACTGGGAGAAATGAAAAAAGGAAAAAATCCCAGGGTACAGAGCAGGTATACAGACCTTCCGAAGGGAAAAGCAAACAGGACACTTGGTGGGACTGATTCACATGCAGCTCAATCCTTCTGATGAAAAGTAGTGGCCTCCTGGTCATAGTCCCAGTAGCTACATGGCCAAGGCACCAAAAAAGTCCTTCAGCACCCGTGGGAAGATATGCCCTCACCCACAGCCAAAGGGAAGACACTGTCCTGTTAGGGTCTATGGCAGGGCAAGAGTGGGGAAAAGGAAAAACTAAGCTGCCCCTGGAAAGGTATGGACCCTAGTGACCCAGCCAGCAGCACTTGACCGTCGTGGTGGGGCTAGTGTGCTCTCGGGGATGGAGGAGACCTGCAAGGAGGGAAGGAGGCAATGTGTGGAGAAGAGGTTGGTCTGACAGAAGAAACGTGGGCAGCTGAGAATGAGGAGGACTGGAGGATGCTCAGATGTTTGCAGCATGTGTCAAATACAGCTGTGGAAACACAAGGCTTACGTACGGCAGGAGGGATTACAGGATGATTGTCCTGTGGGATGCCAATGGTCTCAGAGGTAAATGGTGGCTCCCGTGTGGTTGCTGCATCTCATCATGGTGCACAGCTTCTTCATGGCTGCAACTCCATCTGTGCTCCCCTACACTCCAGGGATCCCTGCCAGGCATGAGGCTGCGAGAAAAACTGTAGGAGAGGAAGCTCGGTGCTCATCTCCGGCAGGGTCACGGAGGCAAATGGCTCCTCCTCACCAGGCAGATCTGAGCCCTCCCCAGCTGGCCCCCTTGGGAGGTTGGTTGCAGGAAGGGGCAGCAGGGGAGGGTCTGCTCTCCAGTCCTCATCAAGATGGCAGGTCTGCATCCCCTCCCTGTCCGTGTCAGACTATGATGGTAGGCATGTCGCTGAGCTCTGGAAAAGGGGACATGCAGTGAGCTACCGAAACATCTGCAGTGGTTTTGCCAGCTGTCGTGAGCAAACAGAACCTGGCTGAAAATGCATGTAGCCCAGGTTGGGTCATTTTGTCTGGATGATAGCTCCATGGGTGCAGAAACCTGGTGCATGGGAGGGTCCCCAGCCGATCCCACCCTGCCCTGCAGACCCAAGAGTGCTCAGTGCCTCTGGGCTCTCTTTTCACAGCATCAGAGTAATGCATATTGGAGGGGACGTCTGGAGGTCTCTGCCCCAACATCTGCTTGAAGCAGGACCAATTAGATCAGGATGCTCAGGGCTTTGAACATCTCTGAGGGTGGATATTCCCCCACCTGTCTGGGCCCCTGTTGCAGTATCTGACCACCCTCATGGGGAAAATTTCTTTTTTTTCTCTTTATATCTAGTCAAAATTTCCACGGTTGCAGCTTGTGCTGTTGTCACTGCACATCCAAGAAGTGTCTGGCTCCATCTTCTCTATACCTTCCCATTAGATGATTGCAGACAGCAATAAGATGACCCTTGACTTTCTCTCCCACTGTGCAAACCCAGATCTCAAACGCCCCATCCTCCAGCTCAGTGGCCCCACTGAGCTCACTCCTATCTGTCACAATCTGCTTGGCACTGGGGAGCCTGAACTGGACCCTGTGCCTAGACGTGGCCTCGCCAGTGCTGAACAGAGGGAAGAAATCACTGCCACCTGCACCTGAGACTGAGACAACCCAGGATGCAGCCATCCACCACCACAGCATGGGCACCCATCACCAACCTCTCCACTAGGACCCCAGTGCCCCCGCGGAGGTGACCCTGAGCAGGATGCAACTCCCAGCTCTCCTTGGCCCACTCACCTGTCCTGAACTTGTTGTAGATGCCGTTCTCCAGCATCGGGCCATCGTCATGAGCACAGCAGGAGAAACTCCGCTCTCGCCACCTGTATGGGGCAAAGCACCTGGGTCAGGCCACCGCTTGCTGTGGTTCCCCTCGCAGCTCCCTGGTGCCTTGGACACCTTTTTTCTATTTTGTCAGGGCAGGAACTGCCCTGCTATTTTGGGATTTGCTCAGGTCCTTACCGAGAAGGGACTCCAGTGCACGACTGTGATGTCTGAGCATCCACACTTCATATGTGCAACAGCATTTTGAAGGCAACTTTGTGACTAAGCCCTGTTTTCTAAGAAATACTTAAGAGCTCAAAAGCCCCAGAAATGTTTTGCAGCCGCTGGTTCCTAAGCAGCTAGAGAAATTTAAAAACTGTGAGTTTGGTGCATTCATAAACCTGACAAACAAGACGACGCAGGGCTCTCAGGCCCTGCTGATGGCAGGGCTGGGAATGCCCTTGCTGCAATGCCAGCCCAGAAGAGGTTGTTATTTGGCTGGATCAGAAGCATCTGCAGGGCCCTGGGAAATGCACACACAACGTGAACAGGGGCCTGGATGAGACAGGCATGGGAAGGTCTGACGGTGGTGGCGATGCATTGCAGGGGTGATTGCGAACCACCCTGCAACCTGCAGCCTTGAAAGCAAGGTGAAAGCCGCTAAAGCAGGACCTGAGGAAGGACTGCTGAGAGCAGGGCAGGATGAAAGGGGAAGAAAGGGAAGGAGCCACTTTGTCTTGGGAAGGGAAAAGCCTGGATGCCCAGCAAACATGCCTGTACAGCTGCTAGTTCATCACCTGACCTAGTGCTGGTACTAATTCATTTCTCCACCATCCCAGAGCAAAATCAGAGGTGCCACCCTTTCCTGTGTCAAAGCAAGTCACGGTTACAAGCAATCCAGACCACTCACCCAGGACCTTCCTGAAGTTTCCCGATGCTGTCACCTGCAGCACAGTTGTTTTCTGCACCCCTGCAGAAAACACCCCTGGTCTGGTCCTTCCACCCACCCAGCCAGCTGAAGAGCTGAGCCCAGCACCTCCTGCTTTCCTTGGCTACCACTGGGACAAGAGCACAGGCAAGTTCCTCATCCAACAGTGGCAGAGCAGAGCATCCAGCAGCCCAACCTGACCTGCTGGAGTGAGCCTGTCCTGTGAACCCCAGATTTGCCAATTATTAAACAGAGGCAAAATCTTTGATGGCATGGGAGGAAACCAAATGTGGTGTCTGTGACACACCCGGACTTTTTGATCTAGGAGGATGGATCTCCTCAAGGGCCCTGGCAACTGCAGATAGAGAGACAAGGGGTGCTCAAGTATTAACATTGAGAGCTTTCCTCTTAAGTCAGTCCAATGCAACAGTGTCTAAATATTAATAATAGAAAAATCAGTTCCTTTCTCAGCTCATCAGCTTTGATAACTGGTTTATGTTGCTACTGTAAATCTACCAGGTCTCCACTGAATCCTGAGGTTAGACAATGCCTGAGCTGCCAAAACGGAAACAGAAAATGAGAACAAGCAGGAGCAGCAGAGAGGCTTTTGGAGACTTTCAGGGCTTTCTTCTAGTTCCTGAAGGGAAAAGAAATGTTCTCAAAAGTAATTTTAACCCTTCAGATCACCTGAAAGCATCCCTCCTTCCCTCCACCTGGTGAAAAAGATCAGGTTATATCATGGCCATTAGCAACTTGGTAGTTACCAGTGCAGAGCAAAGATGAGTGAGATGAGGAGCACAGAGGTCAGATCTGTCAGGATCCACATGATGTTGTACTGCTGCGGAGTCTGGAAGAGAACAACGGAGGATGTGTCCACCACCAAGGACCCCGAAATATGCAAAAAAGTTCCTCAAACTTTTTTGCTGCTTGACTACGGCAATTCTGCTGCCAGGTGTGCTTGTGCAGTAACATCTCCCAGGTGCTTAAAGAATTTGGGGGCATTTCAAACTGGCCACCCCCCAGTGGGTGTTGGTGCCAAATCATTATTTCTCATAAAAGCAGATCTGCTGGGTGGCCAAGAAGATTGGATCACATCACAGTGAATATAACAGGGACCTCTTGTTTGTACAGGCAGGCCCTTTAGTTCTCTCTGCTTCCCTCCAACATTAACGTCAACTCGTGGCATCTCATTTTCCCTGGCAAAATTGTCCTTTAGTGAACACCACAGAGGGTCTGGGGAGGCTCCTGCTTTAAGTCTAAGAGCATCTGAAGATTCATCCTTAGACTGGACATCCACCCACCCTCAGAATGGCCTGAAACACTACAGTTTTCTGGATGGGAGCATCGCAAAATCTACTTCAACAGTGTGAAGCCAGTTATTCAAAGTAGTAACCTTTAGGCTGCAGGGACTCTGGTGGGACCAGTGCCCCAGGTGCTCCTTAGCCCTAAAGAATGTCCAAGGCAGAATAGGGCATAGAGAGTTTATGTGAAAAAAATTCCTCCCAGCAAGGAAGGGTTATTTCTATGGTTGTTTCCCTTGGGCTTGTGGCACCAGACCAAGCCTGAAAAGGGTGGTGGGAGGCCTTGGGAAATGAGGAACTTCTGATATCAATAAGGTGCTTCAAAAGCTTAGAAATGGAAATCCTCTTGCATCAGCTACATGTGCCCTCAAAGGCCCTTCCTTTCTCCCCACACAAATCTCAGTATGACTTCTTTTCCCTCATCTCAAGGTCTAAGTTGCAAATCCTAACGAGCAGGGTGCTTCTGCATGGGCCAAGAGAAAAGAGGAGAAGGGTATGGTGATACCTGGAGTGACTCACAGGTGCCAGCTAAGCCAGGTTTCAACTCAAGTCCTTTTCATGCAGAGAGTCATCTCCTTTATCCATGCATGAACTGGCCCATGGTCTCCAAAGGTAACCATGAACATCCCAACCCTACTTCCTATCCCTGGGAGGGGGAGGATTTTTGCTTACCATGAGGAAGAGTGGCTGGCTGAGATTCTTCAGTGTGTGGACGGCATTGGTGGTCACAGAGTGTGCCCCAGAGCACCACGCCAGGGAGAAAAGCCACGGCTCACTGACCACATAGAAGTTGGTGGTAATGTTTGCCTCAGCGTATTTCCTTTAAAAGACCAAAAGGCAATAGCCTTCGTTAAGAAAAGTAAGGAGGTTAGTACTTCCTTTGAGCTGAATCAAGGAGAAACGACAATTCTGTGTAGCAAAGGCTTGCTTTAGGACCTAAATAAAGAATAGAAAGGAAGGCCAACCAGCCAATAATTAATCATTCATAATTGGCCAATGCAGAATACCTGATCCGCTGGAGGCAAATGCAGTTAAAATGTCCAAAAAGTCAAAACTTTGCCTGCTCCTCTGCCATATGGATCGATGTAACGATGCGTTTGTAATCTCCCAATAGTGTGGTGGAAACCACCTTGAAGCTGGCTATTCATGTTTGTTATGCTTGCAGCATCAGCTGGTCACTTGTCAAGTTCTTATAAGCTATTAAAACTTAATATGAAGTGAGACCATTCTCTATATAATGCTAAAGGAATATCATCAGTATCAGAATTTGTAAATCTACCCAGGATTTACCCAAATGGATCTACCTAGGATTTTAAATTCTGTGAAAATTATTGTTGAGAAAACACGAACATTACTCTCATCCAAAGGATTAAACTTTTTTTTCTTCTTTTTTTTTTAAATTAGTTTTCAATGGTTTTGTGCACAGGAGAGAGAAAAAAAAATTGTATTTACAGAAGAAGAGTTGGACAGGTAAGACTCTTTTTTCTTTTTTTTTTTTTTTTTTTTTTTTTTTATATGAGAGAACCATTTTGGAAACTCCTGCAATGAATGTGGAGCCTTCCATTGGAGAGATGACATTTTCAGTGTGTCACAAGCAACTGGTAGCAGCAGAGACAAGAAACGAAGTTTCCAAAACATCAGCTACAAGTGGGTGATGGTCTCTCACCACAGCATTTCACACTCAAACACATGTTTGTGGAAGAACCACGGGAGGTTAAATAGTTGTTTATTCTCCATGATTCAGTGTTGGTGGGACTGGCATGAAGAGAAAGACAAGAAATCAGGAGACAGCTGTGTTATTCTACCCAGAAGATCCTCAGATCCTGGTCAAGTAAATACGGATGTGGGGGCACGGGGGTTTAATTATATATGCCACCTCTTGGCCACACACAGGGTCAACAGTAGGAGTGAACTGCAGTCCCTCACTTCCAAAATGCAACAGAGATGCCCACTTGATCTAAAGGAGTTCTTCCCAAAATCCTATAGATCCTGGAGCTGGACACTGGAGGGAGACATTGCCATACGCATGAGGCAAATGTATACCAGACGCAGTCCATCAACTTGGGGCTGAAACCGCAACCTACCGGATATCTTCACTGGACATTTCAGTGTAGGCCAGATTGAGTTTGACAATATTGCCCATCAATAGGTCTTCAACTGGGGCCTTACTGCCCATTGTCTGCTGAAACCCAGGAGCAACAGACTGAACAAAGGACCTCATGTCATTCTCCAGCCATAGGACCTGCAGGCAACAAGAGGACCCAGTGAATTCCCAACAGACTTACTAATATGCCCTGCCCTTCACACAAACCCAGTCAAGATAAAGATAAGGTCTTGAGGAGCTTAACCCAGCCTGTCAAATGATGTATTTCTTTCAACAATCAAAGAACATTTGGATGCAGGGTTAAAACTTGCAAGTCACTTTCATCAAGAAATAAGTATTCACTGTTCCTTGCTTATCAACTTGAAATCAGTGAGTACGTTTCACACAGCCCAACAAAAGATGCGGTGTTTGAAATGGATGAAAAGACAGCTTTGGTTTATGGGAAAGGCAACAGAAAACAGTCTGTTCTCCCATTCTCCCAGCATGGGAGAAGAGAACTTCAGCAGATACAAATCAGCGTAACTCCCCAGACATCAATGGATACATAAGCTGATTCACATGGATTTAGCATCCATCCCAAGCAGGGAATTGCCTGGGGAAGGAGGAAGGCAACGAAGGCTCCCAGCTCCCTGTATTTTAATTTAAGCCAGGAGTTTCTATGCAATATATAAAATAAGCATGGGTGGCAGGGAGTAGGCTGCCAATTATGACAAAGATGAAAGGATGCCCTTTGGGGGCTAAGGCATTAGTTGGTATATACACTGGCTTATTTCCCTATGCTGCTTAGGGTTACGCTGTTTTGTACCCAGAGAATATACTCCAAATGATGCCTCTTAAAACAAGCAAAATGCAAGGGGCTGGACTCTATGCAGGTGAAATCATGCAGCATATGACCCCAAAGTCTCAATTTGGGGAGCAAGAAAAGGGATACGGAGGATCGAGGCCACCCTACCAGATGGGGTCTAATCCCCGACTCGCTGAGGATGACTTCCAGGGTTCTGTTGATCCATGAGTTCCTGTAAGGATGTTTCTCTGGAGGGCGGTAGAGATCAAATATCACAAGTTTATTCTGACTGTCTGCGAGGCGCAAGAAATTACTCAGCTTGTAAATTGACTGATTCATTGCCTGGTTTTGATCTGCCCTTGACAGTGAGCCCATGCATGAAAATGGTTTGTCCTAGAAATAAACAGATATAAAAAAGGAAATCAATCAGGCAGTTGCCTCTGGGAGTCAGATGCACGCAAAAAAATCGTATCTCTAAGAGGGAAAAAGTTTGACATCAGCCCTCAGCAGGTGAGGATATTTTATTTTGCTTACCTCTTCTACCTGAGAAACAAGGGAAATATTAACCCAGGCTGTGACGACACTGCTTCTGGGACCTAAATTGTGTAGTTCACAGCTAGCTCTGCTGTGCTTCTCTGTCCCACCATGTTAGCTGTGACTATAATACCCAGCACCTTGCACAAGTAGCTGTTGTCTTCTTCCTCTGGACAATGTGTTCTGCTGCTGCCATGATAAGGAGCCACAACAACACCCACCAGCCAATTGTTATAGGTCTCCTAAGCCTAAAGGCCAACTGGACAAAGCAAGGAGACCTCAGCTGAAGAATTTCTACTGACTTTGAGTTTTGGCTTCACCAGTAGTTCCTCTCCTAACATTCATGCTATTAAGTAGTAGCCAGCTGGTGTCTCTTCTACATCCAGTTGATGATAGTCCTTTATGGCGCTTACCTTAAGGAACCACGTTCCAGCATTCAACTCCTGCAGGGTATCCCAGGAGAATAACGCAGCATTTTGAGCAGTGTCATTGGGGTAGACCTCCTTGATGTTAGTTGTCCTCCTCAAGGTGCTGTCATGCATGAGGAAAGGAACCCCATCATAGCTGTGGGAGAGCAAGAGTTCAGGTCACTTGGGGGGCGGGTTCGTTCATGGCATGAACAGACTCATGCCAGGTCAGAAGAATATGTGGGCCACATGAATGCAGCAGTACAGCTTCCCTCAGTGCAGAGGGTGGGATAGGGAGGAAGGCTGAGGCTTAAGACACCGGGTTATTTCCAGCTTAAATACTGCTGGGTGACCTTGGAGAAGTCACGCTGGACTGTGCCTCAGTTTTGTCAGGGGCAAAGTGGAGATAGTGGCATTTATGCCTGCCAGCCCCCCCAAAAATGGATAGTAACTTATGGTTGAAATCTGTTTTTGCTGACACCAAAGTGTTTCTACGGGTTTCAGAGGACTGAAGTCTAAATGGACAGTGATGGAAAGGCACAATTTTCTCTTACAGAAAGGTCTACATTAGCAGAACATCTAAGCAATAGTATTTTTCTCATACAGTGCCTGGAAACTGCGCATCCTGCACAGCATGTTAGCAATTCATGGCAATGGGTCCCCCAAACACAGGTAATTAAAGATCTAATAATTAGGACAATGCTGTCACAACTCTGAACACAATTTTCTGTTGTTTTGTAGGCCTGATACAACACTCACTGTGGCCTGGAAGTCAGACTAGGGTAGGGACTTGTCTTTATACTCTGCAAAGTATTTAAAACATACTGTAGAAATAATGATTGTTAAATCAATAGCTACAGCTTATTGACTTGCCTGAGAACAACCATGCCCTACAGCCCCTATCATCACGTACCAACTGAGGGACCCTGACCCAGCCACCAGTAAAACCTAATCGCCTGGAGTTGCAGATCTCCAAAGGCAACTCTTAGAAGAAGAAGCGTATATATGCGATGTTTTCCCCTTACCTAATGGTGACATCTGTTTCAAGACCATCCCCACCAGCCCCTATCACCCCTGACCAACGGAGGGACCCTGCCCCAGCCACCAGTAAAACCTAATCGCCTGGAGTTGCAGATCTCCAAAGGCAACTCTTAGAAGAAGAAGCGTATATATGCGATGTTTTCCCCTTACCTAATGGTGACATCTGTTTCAAGACCATCCCCACCATGTTCAATTGTCTTCTGAAATGACATCTCAGTGTTTTCTGGCGCCAGCTGGAAAGCAAAAAGCACATGAGCCGATCATTTTCAAACACACTCTGGAGGACTCTGTAAGTACTTTCTGTCTCTTTGTAACATCTCTGGTTTTTATTAAGGGAGTGTCATTATCTTGTTAAAGTCCACTGTTTGTTTTCTTCCATTTTAGCCACCAAACCCATCTTGTCCTTCAGGAACAGTGTTTTCCTTCTCAGCAAACCCATGCAGTGATGCCTTTGACATGCAGTTCCAGAAGGAAATATCCCCCCTTCTACCCTCCACAGATTTCATGGAAAAAAACCAGAAGATGATGATGAAGGTAGCAAGACACAGGATGAAGAAACGATGTAAAATAACTTCTCCAGACCTACCATTGGAGCTCCACGGTGTCCAATGAGGGCTGGCTTTGGTCCAAGTGTCCCCATCTCTCTGATGCAAGGAGAGTACATCCCCAGAGGTATCAAGAAAAGAAAGAGAAGGATAGCCAGGTATGGACCAACAATTATCACCTGAACAACTGAAAGAATTTGAAGGAGGAAGGCTAGAGTTAATCCATGTAGCAACATACAGGTTTGCCTTGCGGCTTGACTTTTAATACAGCCCTCCAGCTAAGTAGCCGTTGGGCTTTGTCCCATCCCTTTTTCCATCCCTTCTTCCCCTAATTTTCACTTTCTCTCCAAACAGTGCAACCCAGGAAAACAAACTGGTCAAAACAAGCATGTGGGCTGATTAAGTCAGGACTGCAGGTTTTGTGCTTTAATTACATCTCACTATGCCTTACAGCAAGACATGGCCTTAATTTCTTTTTCTTTAGAGGTGGTGCAGTGAAATATCCCCCATCTGTAGAAAAACAATCCTCAACAGAAGGATGCTAATTTTTTTCTTACTCGATAAGATAAGATAAGAACAAGCAACATTTTGAAGTTTCATTCACAGTGAAGAAGAGCAGGAACCTTTCTCCTTCAACTATGTTACATCCCCTTAAGGTGAATACTTCCCTGGTTCATTCAGATTGCTGTCAGTGACCTTCTGTGTGTGACCTACAGAACCCTACAGACTCTGACTGCACGGGTATTGCATCTCAGAAACTTGCCAACTCATTACCTACAGTCTTCCCTGGAGTCTTTTGACACATTGCCCAAGAGACCCGGTGAGTCTAAGGACCCAGCATATTCCCCCCCAACCTCCCCAGTTCAATAAGAAAAATCCTGGGCATGAAACAAAATTACTTTCACCAGCCCATTCTGTCTTTGATTTTTATGACAAATCAACATCGGCAGATGGGTGTCATGTAGATAATTTTGGCTATATGGAGAGACTAGGTCAGAGAAAAACAAGCCAGTCCCAGCGCCCGGCTCTTCTGCAGTTGTTCCTGGCAGCTGGCCTTGTCCTTTACACTACTTGGTCACACTTTTCAGAGGTGGTCAGAACTTGCCACGGGATAACACTAGGAACTGATCAAAAAGCTCCTTCCCCTATGTCAGCTGGCTTCTCCTGAGATATACTAGTCTGAAGTGGATTGACTGGACTGGAGACCCCTTCTGAGACAGTGAAGCTGAGTATAGCAAGCAAAGGTCAACCAAGAGAGCTGCTACTGGCTGCTTTCTCCTGCAGAGGGCTGACCAAATTTCCATGCATGACTCAGAACGTGGGTACTTCTGCTAATATCCTCCATCTCAAGGCAGGTCGCTGCCTTGGTGTAGGCCAAAACTGTGCAAGGGAGCATGCAAACTAGTAATGCATCTGGACAGCCACAGGACAGTGCACAGCCCAAGCCCTAGCCCCCCTAATTTCCCTGGGATACACAGAGGCTAAAAGTCTCCTCCAGCTGGAGTGCAGGTGTGGGAGGAAAGGGCTCCTGCATGCCTGTCTTCCCACACTGATATACGTCGTATAGGGAGCAGGAAGCAGAGCTACTGTACCTTTCTTATCTGCTCTGATGGCATGAAGAGCCATGGGCCAGGACAGGAGGACCATGATGGTTATTGCTCCTATGTGGAGATAGGGAGCTGTGATCTGGCAAGGAGAGAAAAGGATTTTAGTCAAAGGATGAAGTGCGGAGACAGACGGGAACAAACCCCAAGACAGCTACAGCCTTCCACTTGGATGGGCTCCTGTTGCAGATACCAGCAGTTCAACCTCTCTCCTGCACCTGGGTTGGATCCACCAAACACCTCTGGAGAGATATGTGCCCCCAGCCAGGCCAGCTACCCAGGCTGAGGAGTGCTCCTCACTACACAGCTCTCCTTTCCCCTAAATCAGCCGAAGGGGACAAGGCTGTCCTCGTCCATGAGGAGGCAATTGCCATTACTGCTATACCGCAATTCATGAGCATCTTCCAGACAGCAGCCAGTTTAATCCAATCTAACCCTATCCAATCCCATCCAGGTAATAGTCATCTCCATACCACACTGCAGCTAAATCATTAAACTGATGTCAACAAACCTGAGTGATAAAATGTGGTATTTAGACCTGTACGGAACTAACTATTGTGGTGTAAGAGAAGTAGTTAATCTGCTACGTGTCTGATCATGGACATTACTAGACTCATATACACCCTGCAACACCTAGTTTCACATATTATCAATATATTCCAGAAAAATAATTCATTTTCATTTACTTCAAAGCATTTAATTCACTTGCATTAGGGCTAATTGCATTTTTTCTCTTTTTTTACTTTTAACTTGACGTGTAGACATTTTTCTTGATTTACTAACACAAAACAATATATTCATTTAATGTTTATGCTATATTAGATAATACCTATTGCTGGACAGATAAAGTAATTTTACTTAATTTCTTTGGTCCTAAAGATTAAACAAGAAGATCAGAAGCTAAGAATGACTTCTGTATTTATCATGAATGCATGAGCAGAGCTGAAAACAAAGCAGATATAGTTTGACACTGAATGGATGCTCTTCACTCAAGTAATGTTGATATGACACATCTTTCATAAAACTAGGGAGATCTGTCAAAGAAACCAATCCATCATTTTCTCATGCTCGCCAGAGCCCTGTGGTTTCTGTTCCAGCTAGAACTGAGAGTTATTAAGACATGTGCTAGGAAAAAAATCTATTCAGATGCAAGCTTTCCTATCGCTTAGTCCATGCCTGAGTCTCTAAGCTGGAAGGGTTGAAGAAAGCAGCAGTCACTGAAAGATGTCATTGCCTGTGATACCGTCTGCACCAGACACTTTATACCAACATCTTCCGATTAGAAGCAGGATTCAGTTGCGTAAACAGAAGTGCCATCTGAGATGTCCAGTATATTTGAGATAGCTTTGCAGGCCTAATGGACATGACAGAGGATCTACAAGAGATTCATGTCCTTTGGGAACAGCAACGGGAGGCCATGTGAAGCATCTCAAAGGGCATGAACACCTAAAATAAACAGCACCTGTGGGGAACCCAAAGGCTCTTGTGTCTCCTTCTCCCCATCCAGCTCCCCTGGAGTCTGCAAGGGGAAGGAGAAGCTGATGGTTTCTCATTACCTTTGCCAGTGCATAGCCCAACGATTACCAAACTCTGTAGAGCAGAATTAAACACATCCTACAAACACCACATCTCAAAGAGACTTCCATAACTCTGGAGCTACCAATCGATTCCTCTTCCCATCCATATGCATTGCTCTCCCACCATCCACAAGCAGTAAGCCACATGGGCAGAGGTGATATGACCAAATAACATCTGCAAGGCAGCTATGTAGTCAAAGGCTTACATACTTCTTCCTTCCCAATACATGTGGGGACCTAGATGCTCAGACACTAAACAGCATCGGGCAGTTCTAGCCTCCATCTTCAGATCTGCTGAGAGTTGAGGAGGCCAGCAGACCATGCAGTCTGACCTCCTGCATAGAATAGAATCATTTAGGTTGGAAAAGACCTTTAAGATCATCAAGTCCAACCGTTAACCTAACACTGCCAAGTTCACCACTAGACCATGTCCCTAAGCACCACATCTACATGTCTTTTAAATACCTCCAGGGATGGTGACTCCACCACTTCCCTGGGCAGCCTGTTCCGATACTTCACAACCCTTTTGGTGAAGAAATTTTTCCTAATACCCAATCTAAATCTCCCTTGGCACAACTTGAACCATTTGTTCTCATTCTATCGTTTGTTACTTGGGAGAAGAGACTGACACCCAGCTCGCTACAATCTCCTTTCAGGTAGTTGTAGAGAACGATAAGGTCTTACCTGAGCCTCCTTTTCTCCAGGCTAAACAATCCCAGTTCCCTCAGCCGCTCCTCATATGACTTGTGCTCTAGACCCTTCCCCAGCTTCGTCGCCCTTCTTTAGACACGCTCCAGCACCTCTTGTAGAGAGGGGCCCAAAACTGAACGCAGTATCCCACAGGTTGTCCCACCTGACACCAGTGTTCCCCACCTGCTCCCCAAAACCTCAGTGCTGTCCTGCCCTCAAGAGATGAAGCTCTTCTGATTCACAGAAGACCGAAATTGTGCTAACGCTAAAGCTGCTGAACTGGCAGGAGCTCAACAGGGAGAAAGTTCTTGCTCCAGCAACTCTGCCAGCCAAAGGGGTCCTGGGCAGCTCGAAATTAACAGTACACCTACAACATTTTTGCCAAAAAGAAAAAAAAAAAAAAAAGGATGTGACTTCCCAACTGGAGACGTGTTACATCAGATAGCTTGAAACTCAACCTCAGGTTTTGGCTTCCTTTCTCCCAACAGGAAATGTTAAGTCATAATAAAAGTTTACTCAAAACCACATACCCTGCAAGGAAAACCCATGTGAAAAACACTCACCATATGGAGTATTTTCTACCAACTACCAAAAAATACTTCTATAAACAAGTTGTTCTTTCAAACAGACCTCCCAGTCCCTCTTACCTGGAGCGACAGGCGGACAGTTTTCCACTGATCTCCCCAGAGTACCGATAACATGCAGAGGGCTGTGATAGAGAAGCCCAGGACAAGAAAAGTCCCAATCTGGGGAGACAAAGAAGACATAAATCAGCTTCAGCATTTCTGCACAAGGTGTGCCATCCATTTGACTCCCAGGCTTATTTAAGCAGCTTGGACTTGATAAGTCAAGCATGAGCTTGACTATGCCAGTTCAGAGACAGAGATGCAATGAGACTAAAACCAGACCAACAGTGCTATCGATTGGCTTTTCTGTACGGCAAGACTGATCTTAAGAGTTGGGTACCCAGCTAAGTCAGTCCTCAAGGCTTCCTCTATAATCATTGGAGAAAGAGAAGAATTTCCAGAGGTGATCCATTCCCACTTGCTTTATGATGGGAGATGCCTCTCTCTCTCTCTGTTGATGTAGATGGAGCCTAGATGATCAGCTTACATTAAATCCCTAACCTGCAGATGGCTACATTCAGAAGTGATTAATTCCACCCAAAAGAGACAGCAACACAGCTTTCTTATGCTACGAGCTGCTTTGCAACAGGCTTCAGCAACAGCAAACACTCCCATAATTAAGAGATGAAAGCTCACTTTTTAACCAAAAAAGTGAGCAGGTAGCTCAGTCTATTCTTTGGCTTCTTGCACAGTTTGGTACCAGCACAGTTGTGATGGCAGGGTCTTCTTGGTACATCATCTATCTGCTGACAACTAAGTGCAAGTAGAAATTGGACCAAGGCCCTAACTGTTCTTCAGGGAGATCCTACAGATCAACACCTTAATAATCCGCCCCTAATCTCTTCCACCCAAGGATACGGTCTCATTTTTGTTTACAAACTATTCTACATCTTTCTGGTTCTTCTGGAAGTCAATTTTCAATAGCAAAGATGACTGTGTTTCTATTACTTAAATGACGAAACACAGGATCAAGTATCTGCGCATTCAGCTATTCCCTTCCACTGCAAGATTTGCAATCACATTATATTCTCCCCTAAACTGCCTGGCTAGAGGCTCATTTTTAAAATGCCTCACATAACATAAAGAATTTCTTAAGGAGGGTGATTCTAATGCATCAGTTTGTAGCAACAGCTCTCTGAGGATTTGTTTCTGCACCTTCAAAACTCCAGGTGGCATTTAACAAACCACCCAAAGACCAAAAGGCATAAGGAACCAGAATGCCTTGGAAAAGCCAGATTTCTCTTCTGCTGAGATAGCAGCCATTTTTTTCACTGCTGCTGGAGCCTGCTACAGAAAATTACACTGTGCTTCTCATGGAAACTTTGCTTTTGTCTTCATGTTACCACATGTAGACGTGTCAAATACAGACATCTTCACCCAAATGAGTCACCACAAGCTTCTTTTGGAGTCAGTGGGGGAAAAAGGTACTTTACGTGTGATTCATCTCATCTTAATTTAGATGCCTATGACCAGCTGGATGAATTGCGTCCTCAGAGGATTCATTTCCTTCCACTGACTTAAAAGAAGTTTATGTGATCAGCTCAGGTGGAGATATCATTCTTATGGTATCTGAAGTCTCCTAAGATTAACGTCTTCCCTCTCTTCCTTCTCTCCCATAATCTAAGATGTTTTTCATGCAGAGAAACACCACAGACTCAATTGGTTGAAAGCATGGATTAGAGTTACCAGAAAGCCCTGACTCTCCCCACCTTGTGACTCCAGTGTAGGTACAGCTGCTGACCTTCTGCAAGCAAACACATCGCTAGGACCTGGGAAATCAAGAAGAGATTTTTTGCATCCTGGTAGAAGATGGTGAAGTGTGTTCAGTGAGGTATTTCTGGAATTATTTTTGCATTGGGAAGTCACTTTACACTAGGTCTTCCTGCACAATGTCAGGGCTGTTAGCAGGACAGGTGTATGGGGAGGAGTGTTTATTGCTACAGTAAAAATGCTTCTGAAATGGCCAAGCACATACCAAGGCTGCCCTGCAGGATCAAAGCCCTTTCATGGGTAACAAATAATTGGGCACTTTGGGGTACACACTTTTAATGACTTTTCTTTGTGAGTACAAATTCTGAAAGAGAAATGATGGCCAGGATCAACTGGTATGGTATGAACCAATACAGCACTAACCTTGCCTATATCCTCTGCATTTGTTGTGATTAGAGGCATATCAACCATGGGAGAGAGGTCAAGGACTAAAAAAATGCCTCCAAAGCACCACAAAAATACAGAGCAGACAGCAAAGGAGACAATGCTCCCACAGTAATCACAGGAAACGCAAGAGACAGGCACATCTCAGAACAGGGAAAACTGCCTTGGACATTAGAAGACTCCAGTTTTTGGTGGCTGGCACATTCCTTCCCTCTGATGACAAGCTGGAGCCCTCGGGGAGGGTTCCCATGAGGCATACTGCAAACCCCTGCCAGGGACAACCTGAGAAGCCTTGAACACCAAGAAGCAAAGGGTGAGGAAAGCCAGTCCACGGCTCTGATGGAGAGTCCCAGCCCTAAGCAACCAATGAACCTGGTGATGAATTTCACCAGATGTACCTCGCTGCCGTGAAAACGCACAGGTCTATGCTCAGGATTCTGAGTACCTGGGGCAAGCTTCCCAACCACTGTAAGGGATAGTTTGGGGACCAGTATCACCAGATATCAGGGGTTAAAGAAAAGTATCTGTTTGTAGACATCAGTGCTCCACTGAGAAGGATCATTTATGATCCAGGTCCCTCCAGACTGTAACACAGTGGGATTGTGTGAAAGCAGGACGTACAGATTTAGGGGAAGGGGCTCTGCTCTCCCAAAACACAACTACAAAGGAATGTAAGCTGTTTCCCATCCAGCTACAAACACACTCTCTTTCCAGGATCATGCTGATTTGAAGCTCAGCAGAGAACACAGATCAGCTTTTAAGTGCTTCTTGACATGTTAGCCTCCTTTAATCGAATCCTGCACCCAGTACGTGAGTAACCATGGGAGCAGTTCAGACAGAATTAAATTACTGCTGAAGATCTTAAGCAAGACCCATTTAAATAAGCCATTTCAGAAAAAGGAAGAAAAAAAGACACTTTCAAAATTGCCTCTTTTCTGCAAGCAATGTTACAAAGACCTGGTCCTTGCCTAAGGTACAGCCAAACACTTATTTCACAGGCCATGCTCAACAGGACTCTTCCCTGCTACTGCAGTATAACTTTTGTACGAATGATGCACCACATCTGGGAATGCCATCAGAGGGTGAGCTCATTTTTTATGGATGGAAACAATATCTCATTGTCAGCTTACAAGAATAATAATCACCAGGTTTCATCCTCAGAGGGTGAAGAAGGAACTCTTGCAGTTGTACTGCTGGTCACCGTAGGAGAACACATCTTGATGGACCAGTGAGCTGACGTGATGTGGACAAGGTTTATTGTCTGGCACAGTCAGTTTGAGTTTTCTTTGCTTTCCATGTACCCCTGAAGCTTAACATCTCAAGCCAAAATAACCTAGCTTCATCCTGCTCCTCAAAAGCTGCTTCAGGACCTGTCCAGTATGGTCTTCCACGGAGAGCAGCTGCTTTTAACAATGTCCCACAGGCTTGCACCTAGAGCAGGACTTCCTCAGGCAAAGGGACAACCAGCACAAGCAGGTTTGGCTCTTCCAAACCGCTTCCATACATATCCTGGATTGTCTAATACAAGTACATAGATATGTGGGTTTAGGTGACCGATATTTGTCTGACTATTACTGCTGAGGCTAGAGCCAAGATCCCTCTTGCTAGCTCTATCATCTCCCTGAATCTTACAGCCTCCAACACTTGCATTCTTCTCTTCTTTAGTATGAGGTGTGGAAGTGTCTCCCCTCCACCATCTACCTGCAAAGCGGTAATTAAGGGATGCTTTCCAGTGGCAAGAGAGATGTATTCGCTGCAAGGGGGATTGCACCTCTGTCTCCCTCTTTTTGAGTGGACTCAAAAACACTGACCATAAGGTTATGCTGCAAAAGCATAGACAACAGACCCTTAATCACACTCTGTTTCAGCACGGGAATGACCTGGTGCTGATTTCAATACTGCTGGTGAGGCTTAGGCAGGCTCTGAACCTTCCACCACAAGGACGTGGAGGCAGGCACTTGGACACTCAGTTCACCTAAAACATCTGCTCACTTAGATGTTCACAACAGCAGAATTCAGGTCCCTACATTCACTTTCTGGAAAAAAGGCAGCAACTCAGAACTTCTCTGGTACCCCAGTCTCTTAGGGATAGAGGTCTGAGACCACTTTTTGAACTTCGGTGCCAATGCACTGTTTTGAGTTCTTAGTCTACAAATGCAGAGGCCACAACACACCTGAACTTCTTTATATTGTGCAGTCATGAGTCACCTCCTCAAAACCCTTGGAACAAACATGGTTGAACTGCAGAGAGGAAAATATTATGTTGGTGTTTAAAGATTGAACAAGAAAAGTTTTTTCTTCTCCACTGAGTATGAACTGTTCTGCAATTAGACCCCTCAGCTTAACCTATAGCTCTAATGGGGGTGAGAAAATTGTCTCACGGAGTGATAACAATTGAATTAATTGAAACTGATTGAAAAAATTACAACGATGCATGCGGACGGAGAGCGTCTTTGCGCAGACAGCAAGTGCACTGTTGTGCACCTTTTTGTTCAGCCGCTGGTGGCTGGTGGGCAGAAGAGTGTTTGCTTCAGTGGTTAACAATAAGGTCATGGAAGCAGGCTTGCAGGCTCCAGTTGGGTGCCATCATTAAGGAAGAGGGTATGGTGCTCACAAACAAAACCAGACCAGCCACTGGTTGCTATAAAGTCTCTCTGCTCCAACAAGGCCATCAGTGTGCTCAGTTTTCTGATGTGATGGACTGCTGATGCAAAACATCACAAGGAAACATTGCCTGGGTGAAGGTCTCCAGTCCTTCTGCAACGTATGAGGGGATAGTCTCCATCCAACACTGTTCATGGGATGTTAAATGGGATGTAATTCATTGTGGAGGCAACCTATTTGGACATCAGTTGTCTGAAACATATTAGGGTGATCCAGCTATCGTATAGTACCCACAATGATAGATTTATTTAGATGTGGAAGGGCTGAGTTGCACTTATTAGCCTGTGAGGCTGCTAGTGTTTTACTGAGTGGTTCATCAAAGGCTACAGTGAAAGGCCAGATGCTGTGACGGGGAAGCTCTGCAAACAGCGATGGAGGGGTGATTCCTGGCAAAGTCCTTCTCTGAAAGGAGCCCTGCTGGGATGAACATGGCTGAGCCACAGTTGTCATCATAAGACCCTGTATGTGACTGTTGTATGATCCTGCATGCTTTGAGATAGTGGGAGCATGAATGGTGGTGCTGATGACTTTCCTCGCTCCCCTTTTCTTCAAGACCTAATCCTATTTAGGTGACAGCTCTGATGGTGTGAGGCCTCATGCCTCCCAACACCCACTGCTCAACATAGACACATGCAGCAATCTTGCCAAATGAGACACGATGACATGGTGATGCAATCAAGCAGGGCAAGTGCCCTTAGAAATACCCAATATTTGGGTGGGTCGCTTAACAGCTTCATGAAAGGAAGGAGCAAATGGACTCTCGCTAGAGGGGCCGTCCCCAGAGCAGAGGCACCTCTGAAGTGTTTCTCTTGTAGGACTTGTCTGATAGTATCCAAACGCCTCGTATTCTTTCAGGTTTATCTGTGTTTCATCCCCCTGAGGAAGGCAAGTGCTGCTAGCCTCATCAGATAGAACTGAGATGCTGAGAGGAGGAGGATGTGTCTACACAACGAAGAGTGGGACCGAGACTGAACTGAACCATGTAGGACACCAATTTCACCTTGTATTTTCCATCTACTTTTCTGGCTTCACTTTGCCTACCACCTGCCCTGGTAGAATCATAGAATCACAGAATCATTAAGGTTGGAAAAGACCTCTAAGATCGAGTCCAACCATCAACTCAACACCACCACAGTTTGCAGCCATCACATTCGTGCTGCCAAAGACATGAAACTCCTCTAAGAAAGTCCACTGCTTGGACACTGGCTGATGTTTGGATCCAGACAGAATATGACCGAGCTGACACACCAGCCCCAGGCGTCTTCAGGCTCCTCAAGCCCAGGAAATCATGTAAAGTCCATTTCTAGCATGTGCTACGATGGGTTAGTCTGATCCTGAGGTTGACTCCAGATTCACAGCCTGCTGAGGTACGATCTCAAAGGTATGCATGTCACACAGGCATCTCTGGCAAAGCTCTGAGTTGCTCAAAGTAGCATTGTAACAGCCAAACCACCCAAACTGTCCCATGGCCACTGGGAAAGCCAGGTAGGCTTCGCTGAATAACAGACCTTGAGCCCGAGACCCACCAGGATGTCACAAAATCCTTGTAATTAAATATTGTTATTTGTCCTACTCAGAGCTCAGTTAGTCCATAGCATTTGTGATGTTATTGATCGCTGTGGGCATGGCCAAGCAGCTGTCCTATTTATCACTTTGGTATTTTATTGCTAGCACTAGAATAAAATCATTATGTATTTGTACTTCAGCAGGGACGAAGGACCCCAGAAACCTATTGTGTTAGGCGCTGCATGAACAAAGCAAAAAGAGATTCCCTGCCATGAGCAATTTACAGTCGGACTATATGATGACACATCAGGGAATGGGCAAGAAAAGCAGGAACTGATGATAAAAGCTGGTTGTCTTTGTCACAGAGGTGAGTCAAAGCCATAACCTCATCCTCAGCACCTGGCATTTCAAAATGAAAGTTGGAGCAGGCATGAGACTGAACGTGGACTCCAGTCCCTGGAGTTAAAGTGATTTCTTAGCCTATAGCTCTGGATGCAGAGGGTGGAAACACAGATGCAGACCTGTCTTTATCTGGGGGGTCCCTGTGAGAGAAAAGACAGGGAAAAAGGATGACTAGGTAGAAATTTTAGGAAACACTTGCTTTTGGTATGTTTCCAGTAACCAAAGCAGACAGCAGATCGGAAGTCTAGAGAAAATGTCATAGGATTTGTAAAAGTGAAGATTTCAGGAACATTGCCTCTTGGGGCATAAACTTCAGGAGCGTTTTGTGGCCACGTCTCTACCTGGAGACAAACCCTCCAGCAAAGCAGAGAGAGTCAAGGTAGCTTCAGTGATAATGCTCCCCTTCTTCTAATGAGCATTTTTCTTCAGGATTAGAGGAATAACTCACCTTCAACAACATATCACCACTGCTATGTGATGTGGAGTCCCATACTTCTCTGCTGTCAGAACAACAGTCTTTAGCTTCCCCTAAATCTAGATCCAGCCACTGCTGGCACATCTTCACTTGGGTTCAAGGAGACACTGGACAAATTCATTGAAGGGAAATCATTGAGAGAAATCACAGAAACTACATCTGGCTCAGAGACCCCCAAACGGAAATTGGTCATCCGCAGGTGGACATGGGGAGAAAGTACCATAAACACTCGTGTTCTCAGTCTTCCCCAGGTATCCACTGCCCAGGGATCACCCGCAGGGCTAGGCTGAGATTTGGTCTGACACATTAAAGCCATCCCTATGTTTACTTTTTAGGACTATAAATCATGGTCAGCTTACAAAGAGCATTACTTACCAATAACAGTGTGATGTACACGAACAAGATTGCAGCCACAATCAGGAGAACAAGAGACCAGAGAAACCAGAAGCCCAGGTTCCCATAGTTATACCTAAAAAGCAATATTATGATAGTATTTGTGTTTAGCACATGGACTGGAGGAGAACGGCCCTGTTCCATGAAATTTTGAAATTTTCAAAGCAATAAAACAAAGAGGGAGGGAGGAATAACCTACCCTGCAACACGCAAAAGTGGTTAAGAGCCTCCTTCCCCAAATCCATGATCACATTACCCGCCAGACTAATACCCCAATGTGCTGGGGTGGTAAAATACAGGACCAAATTGATGGCCTTGCTCCAGACAGCTCCTAGTCTGACTGTAAGACACAGCACCTTGCTGCAGACAAGGCAGTCTGGGCAAAAAGTAAGATGACGTGACTCAGGCCAACAGCCCACCTTGTCTGCCTGCGGTTGTGTGGGACACCGCAGCAAAAAGGGGATTTGAGTCAGGTTTTGAAGGAGAAAACTACAGAAAGCTGAAGGAGCTGCTGAGGGATTGCTCAAGGAGAGAGAGAGGGAAGCTTTACTTTTTACCCAAAGGCTCAATAAGGATGAATAATATTATTAACACCTTTCCTCCCCATAATATCTGAGCTGTTTTAATTTAATTTTAGGGGCCAGATTTGCATAACTGTTACCTACGTACTGCAGAAGGAAAGGATTTGCATAAATCCCTGCCAGTTATTTCTTACTTTCAGGACTGGGAACATGCAATTCTCTTTGCAGTGAGATAGCTGATGCAATGCCTCTGAGGCCAGCCACTACGTTTCTTCAGAAGGAACACGGGGGGAAAAAAGACTCAGTGAAGGAAAGGGAAAAGCTATTTAGTCCCCTTCACTCACAATTTTTGATTCTCCCCTTTCTCCCAAATTCACACGTATACCTAAAAACCGTAGCCAAGCAAAGCACAGAGCCTCAGTACCTCTGAAGTCACTGGACATTCAATTTGGATGCTGTAACCAAGAGTTTAAGGAGCCAAATCTTTGGCTCACGGCTAAAGTGCCCTGCTGCAGCACAGCTGCTGGGGAGGGTGCTCATCTCTTCCCAGCCACCCTGGGGACCTGCCCGAGGAGCGGGAGAGGAGAAAAAAAACGGTACTTACCAGTCAAAGTTATTGTAGTCATTTTTTGCTTCACTCCACATGTACAGAAAGACCAGAGAAAAGCAGAAAGCTCCAACAAGCAATGGGAAAAATACGCATTCCCGCTGAAGAGGGAGAGGAAGGACAAGTGGTCAGAGCCTTATCTACCCCAAAGCAATCAGAGCAAATGGCAGATACTTTTCCGCTGTCCATAAAACATGTGGCTTAGTGCTGGACATCCAGAAGCAGAGATGGAGATGACTTCCCCCCTGTCCTCTGTGACCAGGGGGATGGCCTCAAAAGCATACTCTGCAGTATTTATTTTCACAGAAAACAGATCTCATGACTTTGCAAATGAACAGGATTTTAGCCACCTCATGTGAGAGGGAATTGCACTATGCAGCAGCCCTCTTTACAATTTTTACTGCATGCCCAACCCAAATTTTCCTTCTTTAATTTGATCCTATGGCTTTGAGATGTTTCACTGGCCTGGAGGGTTTGGTGCAAGGTCTTTTCCTGACACCACACATTTGTTAGCTGAGCTTGCCATGGAAACACAGCAATACATCAACCGCTTAGAGCCAAAATCTAACAACCCAACAGATCTCAGTGGGCTCCAAATGACACTGGGCAGAGATGTCTTTGGCCCACGACATCAACCACTCGTCAGCTTGGACTGACCTGTCCCTCCACAGAAATCAATGTCTGTGCTGATTTTGAGCTAATTTACCGTCTTGCAGCAGCATTTCCCAGGCTCGGTCCTTTTGCGCTGGTACCGCTTCCACCGGCAGCTGTAGAAACCAGCCAGGCAGGAGATGAAGGGCTGATGCTCATACCTCTGTAGCAAGCGCCGACGTACCACCTTCAGCTTCCCAAACTTGATCCTCTTGAGGCTGGTGGAACTGGCCTCCATCTGAGTGGCTTTATCTCATCTTCCTCCTGAAACGAGACCACAAGTTTTATGGGGAGACTGTAACCCTCCTTTCCTTTTGGGTAAGCTTTTCATATCAGAAAAAAGAGAGGAAGTTTTCTCAAGAGGACGCTGCAACCAGCAGGGAAGGGTGCTGAGGACACCCCACCTAATTTTACATACCTAAGTGAGATGTTTAACAGAAAAGCATGGTCATTGCAAGTCCCCTCAGCAGTCAGTGGTGCTCCTAGTTGTAACTTAGGCGCTCTGAATCACCTCTGAAGGAACCTCCGCCTCCTTTTGACTATACAGGGAGCTCTGGGAAATAAAATCACTAACTTAAGCACTCTGTGTAGATTCTCAAATTATGTCAGATGAACCTAAGCCTAGGCTTAGCCATAGGAATTAATTCAACATCATTGTGACCTGTCTGTAACCTGCTACCAATTTATCTAGCTCTTGTAGGAAAGGGATTAAAACTCTCTAGGTACACAGGTCTTTTGTCCTGGCAAAACTGCAGCACTGCAGAGACTGATCCCTTAAGAAAAAATTATTTCCTGACTGAAATAGCTTTACCTGGTACAGTTTTTCAAGGGTAGAAAGAGTAGCTGTAAAGATGCACACATGGGAGATCTATTCATAATCAAGATTTTAAACAAAGAACTTGGTAGTAAATTGCAACCGATGTAGTTAAAAGCAAAGCAAATAGCACAAGGGTTTGTGCCAGCAAAGAGCGGT